GATAGACAGACAGACAGACAGACAGACAGACAGATAGATAGATAGATAGATAGATAGATAGATAGATAGATAGGTGGATGGATGGATAGATAAATGAGTGGATAGATATATAGAAAGATACAGAGATAGATACATAGGCAGATAGAGAGATAGATAAATGAGGTAGATAGGTAATAAAGTTCATAAATGTTTATTAAGCACCAAGCACCATGCTAAATGTTGGGGATACAAATTAAAGTATGCAAGTTAGTTCTTGCCCCCATGGAGCTTACATTCTAATTGGGGAACACAACACAAAAGGGGGAAGTGGAAGGATGACCTGAGTTCAAGCCTCTCCTCTTACATTTACTTGGACCCTGGGAAAGTCGCTTAAGCTCTCTGTGTTCTAGGCAACTCTCTATGACTCTAAGTTGAAGAAAAGGAGCTGGACTAGAGACAATTCCCTATCCAGAAGGCCCAGACCCTTACCAGGCCTACCTATTGTTCACCCTTCTGCTGTCTGGGGCTAAGCAGAATTGGACATTCTCCAGCATGTCAATGACCACACCAAAATGGAATTGCCAGAAATTTAGGATCAGAGAGATTTACGCCAGAACATACACATACATACATACATGTATACATATACATGTATGTATATACACATACATACATGCACATACACACACATATATCTCTGTGTTTCATGCAAAAATACTTATTGATGTGAAATTGATTTTAATGAAGCTGGTAGAATACCTATATTAATATAGGTATATATATAGGTATATATGTAGATATATTTGTATGTAAGTGTACATATATATTTATATATAGTTGTTTTCCTGTTGTCTCCTTTATTAGAATGAAAGCTGGTTGAGGGCAGGGGCCATGTTTTTTGCTTTCCTTGCATCTCCTAGTGCTTCACACAGTGCCTGATATATAGTAGGTGCTTAATAAATGCTTGTAGACTGGTTGCCCTAACATCATGTTTTAAGCCTATAAAATGAAAGGTTTGTCTTGCATGATCTTTAAGTGCCTTCTCTATTCTAGATTCCTTGAGCAAGTCACTTAACCCTGTATGCCTCAGTTTCCTCATCTGTAAGATGAGCTGGAGAAGGATATAGCGAACCGCTCCAGTATGTTTGCCTAGAAAACCCCAAATGGAATCACAAAGAGTTGGACATGACTGAAAGTGACTAAAGAACAATAACAATGCTATGAGACAGAGACTTAGTAAAACTCTTCTCTTTCTTGTCCATTCACCTTCTCATTGCCTTCCAGATAAGTCCTTTGGTTCTGATTTCCCATTTATGGCCACATCTGGAGAATTGTGTTTAGCTCTGGACACCACCTTTTGGGAAGGATGGTGATAAGTTGGAGAACATCTAGAGTAGGGCACCTAGAATTCTGAAGGGTCTTGAGGTCTTTCTACATGAGCTGTAGAGATGAGCACGTTGGGGTAGCTAGGTGGCACAGTGGATAGAGCACTAGCCCTGGAGTCAGGACCTGAGTTCAAAATAGACCTCAAACACTTACTAGCTGTTTGACCCTGGGGAAGTCGCTTAACCTCGATTGCTTCCCCCTTCCATAAAAAAAAAAGGGTTTAAAAAAGTGCATGTTTAGCCCAGAGAAGATTTAAGGTGAGGGGGAGAGGGGAGGTCAGATAATAGCTGTCTTCCCAGTGCCTGAAAGACTGTCACCTGGAAGAGGGATTAAACTTGCTTCATTTCATGCCCAGAGGATTGAACTTGGGGCAATGGGTTAAAATTAAAGAGAGTCATCTTTCAGCTTCATCTAAGAAAACCTTGTAGGTAATTAGGCTTGTCCAAAAATAGAATGGGCTGCCTGGGGTGGTAATGCTTGCTCTCTTGCTGGAGGTTTGAAGTATGTTGTAGAAGGGGTTCATATCTATATCTATATCCTATTTGTGAGCATGTTAAATTCCTCTAGTGCAGCGTAAATCCCTGGATGGTAGAGGTTATTTCATTGCTGTCTTTCCATCCCCAGCAAAATCAGAGTGCCTTGAACATAGTAGGTGCTTCACAAACATAGATGGTGCATTTAGTTGAATTTTTAATCAGATATGGGGTAGACTGTATGGCCTGTCAAGTCTAACGTTTGGTTTGAAAGTCCTACATGACTAGAAACTGACTACTGTTGGTGAACTCTTGCTAAGAGATTGAGTTCAAATTAAGCAGATTAAAAAAAAAACCTGTGGCTATGTAATTTCAAAAACCTGCTTGTGGTTTAGTCAATTCAATGAAAAAGGAAGGAAGGAAAAAAGGAAGAAGGGAAGGAAGGGAGAGAAGGAGGAAGGGAGGGATGAAGGAAAGAAGGAATGAAGCAAGCATTTATTAAACATTTACTATGTGCTAGAAATTATGCTAAGTGCTTTATAAATATTACCTCATTTAATCCTCACAACAACCCTGAAAACTAGGTTCTGTTATTAGCTTCACTTTACAATGGAGAAAACTAAGGCAGATAGAAGTTAAGTGACTTGCCCAGGGTCAGACAGCTGGAAGGTATCTGAGGTCATGTTTGAATTCAAATCTTCCTGATTCCACCTATAGCCCTCTACCCAAACTCCCAGACTAAATATATTTACCCAAACCACGTGTTTACTTCAGTTCCCTTTTGTTATAGACATAGTAAGGCAAGTAAACTGGGAAGAGAAGGAAAGGTGTCCTTGAGAAAATAACACAGTATGCTTAGACCCATGTTTTAAATCTGTACTACAGATGAAGAGCTGAAAAGGACCTCAGAAGCCAACTAGAAGAATTGCATGGTTTTACAGATGAAGAAACTAGGGCCCAGAGGGGATGACTTGTCCGAGGTCGTGCAGGTCACAAGCATCAGGGAACATAATTTGAACTTAAGTCCTAACTCCATAGCCAGTATTTTTCCACTCCATCATACTGCCTTCCTTGCTTAACACAAAATATGATGTACAAATCTTAAATTTACTTCTGTCCCCTTAAAGGTCTGTAGGAGAATTAATTTTTTTTCTTGTCTTAATTATAATAGAAGAATGATTTATGGTGCAATTCACTCAAATTTAGCAAGTGTCAAAATATTATCAATATCCTGAGTCCAAATAAAGAGGCTATGTAGTGTAGAGAGCAAGTCAGAATCAGACCTCTGAGGATAGGCAATTGTCACCTAATATCCCAACCTTGCTCTCATAAAACAACAGATTGCAGAGCAGTTACCTTTCACTGGGGGTTCCAGAGATTACACGTCTTGGGGAGGGAGGAGAGAGAGAGAGAGAGAGAGAGAGAGAGAGAGAGAGAGAGAGAGAGAGAGAGAGAGAGAGAGAGAGAGAGAGAGAGTCTCACAGAAAGACACAGAGAGACACCTAGAAACAGAGAGACACACAGAGACACATAGAGACAGAGGGAGACAAAGACACAGAGACAGAGACAGACAGAGACAGAGAAGAGGAGAGGAGGGGAGGGGAGGGGAGGGGAGGAGAAGGGAGGTGAGACAGAGGCAGACAGACAGAGAGAAAGAGAGAGAAAACTTATTTGAAGTTACTTCATAATTTTTACCAGTTTTGAAACTGAAGTCTTTGTTTAAGAAATATATCATCACCTGAATGAGGTCAAGAAATTTTAAAAGTTTCACTCACAATATTTGTAAACTTATCACATTCCTTTTATTTATTTCCCAAAAACAACCTTGAAAAATGAACTAATGAGCTAATATAAGTAACTGAGTTACGTACTTTACCCTTCCCCTCTGCAAGCAAGTATCTGAAGGCTCTCATATCTCTAGACTTTTTTTTTTCCTGTACCTTGGGTACAAAAATTTTCCAAACATTTATCAGATCGTCATATATCTAGCTATTCTATTTAATAGACCTCTCAGTGTTTGACAGTTGGAAGTTTCAAGGAACTCTCCTTAAACATTGACCGGCTCCCTTAACTGAGTGAAAATACAGTACTTTGAATTATCTAGTTTAATCTTATCAATTATTTGGGTATTATCTATTAATTCTCTGTGCAGATACAGTCCAGTTCTCAATATTTACTCCTCTTTTACTAACTTATTTGCAAATCCCCAAAGCTATCTACAAGGTCTATTTGAAATGAACTAAATACAGTAAAAATAATAAAGTGTGGAGTTTCACCTTTAAAACTAAAATGGATTTAAATGATAAGTTTAAAAATGACAGCATATATTAGCCAAGGTTAAAATTTCCATTATTGTTTCAAAGGTCATGTCAACTGATTTTTTTGGTATCTGTTTCAGGGATTGAAGTTTAGGAACTAAGCTTTATACAACTGGAGACATCAAATAGTAATCTGGGAATTGTATTTATTGTCTGGAATTTATAAAGCAAGTTAAATCTGAAAAAATATATAACTTCATTATTACTGCAAATGAAGACAATACTAAAAATGGTCAGGAGGAACTGGTGGCATGCAGATATGTGCATATACTTGGATAAAGTTTAAGAAAAGGTTAACGCAAGGAGTAAAGGTGTTGTCAGATCTTTAGTGACAAGTCATAAAAAATGAATTTTGAGCTATGACTTCGTGCATCCTTTTTAAAAGCCTCTTTTCATGGAACTCCAATCTCAGTATTCACTCTTTTTTCCTGTTTGCTCTATTCCTGAAGATTCTATGCCCCCTGCCAAAAATAATACTAATTTGAGGAGAGCTATGTCTCTCAACCTGTGCATTTTCATTATTTACTTTAAAAATATTTAATTAAATTATTCTGGTGTTTTGTCATTTTAGTAGGTCGGAGTTGCCAGTCTCCATCATTTGAATATGCTGCTTCTAACAGATTCCTTCTCACTGGGCTCTGTCCTACAAGCTCAGAGATCCAGTCTTTCAGTTGTAAAAGGGTGGAATTTGGGACTCCTTAAGCCTCTCAAAATCATACAGTATGTATTTAGAAACCTATGTCAGTGGTTTCTTTGGGGGGGGGTTAATAGAAGCTCAAACGAAAGAAGCCCACCTCCCCCACTTCAGAATGTTCTATGACAGCTGCACCTGTAACCCCATTACCTGTTTGCAAGGAGATGGTTCTCGTATCTCCATCCTGAGACGAAATATTGAAATGATAGGTTGTTCCAGCCTGTAAATCCTCGGGGTTACATTCATAGGTATGGTTGGCAATCTGCCGAGGGAAGCACGGGGCTCTTCTAGGGGTGTCGGAGTTGTAGATGAGGCTAAAGTTACAGGGTGACCCTTCTGTGCTCCACCTGAGACTGACAGAGCTGCTGGAGACCTTGGCTTGGGTCAGATTGATGTCGCACCTCAGCGGCTCCCCGAGGCCACTCTGCAAAAGGGATCAGAGACAAGTGCTGAAGACTCCTGACTGAAGCCTTCCCTAGGGACGCTCTGGTTCCCTTCCCTTCCTCTCCAAAACAAGTGCTCCAAACCAATTCCATAAATAAAAAAAAACCAAACCAGAGCAAGAACACAGGTAGGTGGCCACGTCTCCCTGTAGCCGGCTTCCCCGAGGGGAGCTTGGGGGTTGGGGGCGCGGGAGACGGGGAGCGAGGCGTGACTTTGGCGTTGAACTCAGCCCGCTCAGAAGTGAGCTAGTAGGAGGATGAGCGGGCTGTCAGAGTGCATCTCTGCTTTGCTCCCAGCGCCCTTCTCGGACCCAGGCAGGTTCCCCGGGAGAAGGGTGGTCGTCTAGGGAAACAGAATGACCAGGCGCAGAGCATGCAAGCTGGAAAGGGAGCTCGTTTGCTGAGAGAGGAAAGGCGAGGAAGGTGCCTTCTCCATCCCCAGGTGCCCCTTCCTTTTGCCACTCACCTGCATTAGGTTCAGTGCCATCCATAAGGCCAACCTGGCTCCATAGCTCGGCATTGCCATCAGTGCTTAAGAATAAGATTATCCTAGTCGGAGGGGATAAGAAGGGAGACGGCCACTGAGTCCCAGCTGGGGCGGGAGGGGAGGCAAGGTGAAGCCAGGGATGGCAAAGGGAGCGTGGAGGATATCTGGACAGCCCACCCGCGAGACACTTGTTGCCTGAACTTCAGGGCTGCCTGCCGGCTTCTCGAGGTTTTCTCCGGGAGGGGGACCGGGACGTGCCAAGACAGGGGCCGCTATTGCTGCTGCAGCCCTCAGCGGGCTGCGGACGCGAGAGGCAGCGGGGGCAGGCAGCTCGCAGCCCTTCCCACGCTGCCATACTGACCCGCGCTGCCGCTAGCTTGAGCCCTTTCCACGGACTTCCGCAATCAAAAGGCAATTTCCTCGTCTCCCGGCAAAGGAACAATGCTCCGGGGAGGGAGGGCGCCTCGAGAAGCCAACGCCTGAGGCTGCCAAGGGAGTCTGGAGCGAGCCCAGCTGCCCCCCTAGTGCCCCACTCTATGAGCCGCCGGGGTCCCGGCCCCGCCGCACTTGGCCTCACGGACTTTCACTTTTTCACACTCTTTCCTCAACTCTGCAGACCTCTGGGCAATAAGCATTACTTGCCTCCCTCCCTCCCTCCCTCTCACTTTCCAGCCCCCCTTCCTCTCTCCACACCCTTCACCTCCCCCCCCCATTTTCCTTCCTATCGTCCTCCCTCATCTGCTTTCTCCAGGGACTCTTTTCCCAAGATTATGCTTGACCAATCCTGTACTAGAGGAGATTTCCCTAGGTCTCGAAACCTCTTTCCTGGAACTTTATTAAAATGTCCTTATCCCACACTTTCCTCTTCTCACTTCAAAGAATTTGTTCAGTTCTTATGGTCCCCTCCCCCTCACTAACAAAAAGTCCTTCTTTGCCCATTTCTAATCAGGATGCAATCTTTTTTCTTCTTCCTATACACTTTCTTTTTTCTCCTGTAAAGATTTTGCTTTGTTTCTGTAGGCTAAAAACGACTCCAAAATGCCATTTATGAGGACACTGTGATCGAGGAATGCAATAGTTTGCTAGGATTTTATCCGCTAAAGTTATATGCCCTTTTCTTTCAAGAGTTACTTTAATATAATGCTCAGCAAGGGATAATAAGGTCACCACAAGTCAATTTCATCATTAATTCTTAACTAAATACCCCTCGAATAAACAAAGCAATCTAAACTACATTTTGCGGCATATTACTGAATAAAAATCTATCAAGACACTTTCAGCTCTAAGAATCTAAAAAACTCTTCCCGTTATTACACAAAGTAATATATGTAAGCCCGCCATAATTTCAGGGATACCTTAGTGGCAGAGCATTATAAGCACATTTCCCTCAGTTTTCTGTACCTATTTGTGCCCTTGACACAGCGTACCTCCGGGTCCTTGAATGACTCCGGGACTTACAATATACAGAAGTTTCCTGATTCTCAAGGAACAAACAAAATGAATTCTATGCAGATAACAGCCAAAGTATGACCCACACCTTTAATAATTTATTATCACTTCCTTTAGATATCACTGTAGCAACTACAGCACGTTTCACATTGTCATTTCCAAGAGTTAAAAAGACCTGTTGAAGTTGCTAAATGGAGAGGAAAGGAAGCATTTTGTTTTATTTTTAAAAATTAAATATGCCATGCTCACTTGATTTTACCTTGTGTACAGTAACAGAGTTTCTAATTTGAAGAACAGCAGAAAATAAACAAGCAAAATAGATTTAATTCTATTTGGGAAAATGTCATCTTATTCCTTCCTTCCATCTCTTTAATAAAGTAATACACACATCTATCTAACACAAACTCTTTGCTCTTTTTTTTTATCTGCAGCTAGATCTGAGATCATGCATATATCTTTCTAGCATTTGGAACCTTTAAATCCCACAGAATTTAATTTTAAGTTTCCATAAGTTTCCAGGAAAATTGTACTGCTTGCCTCCCTCTCCAACTGGTTCATTTGCATTTACTAAACAATACTTCCCATTCCTCCACTCTGCCAAGAGAATTCAGTTACTTTACCAAGCCTATGATGCTTTTTTTATACAATATACTCTCTCTCTTTTTTTGCAATTGTACAGTACAAATTATCATTGCTAGAAGACTATAATGATTTCTATTTTCTTCCTTTTTCTAACACTACTCCTTTTAATTGCTTTTCTGTGCTATAACCAAGGTTATGTTTTCATGCCCTTTACACTCAATAAGGGTGAAATGCCTTTTACATAGTAAACACTTAATAAATGCTTGTTGAAATGAATTATTGACTTGTACTTATTGCTCCACTTTAACTTAAAACACTATCACAGACTAAATCAGAATTAAGCTCTTTACTCTTTTGTTTAAATTAACCCACCAAGCCCAGTCATCTAACCTTCTCTGTCCAAGCCACTTCTACCCATCCCTCTTTGTTCATTCAAATTTGGCACCTTCTAAGAGGCTCTGGGGAGCTTCTATTTTTCAGGAAGCCTTTCCATGCTCCATTTCTTTCACAACACTCCAGTAGACCAGGAGGAATTCTTTAGAAAGTTTATACACTAGGATTTCAGCAGAGTATTTTTTTTTTGGAGGGGGAGACATCTCTCTGTGCATGAAATCCCTTTATAGACATGGTGGAGGGAGAAGTAAATTAGATGGAGAAATTAGTCACATAACCAGACCAAAAAAACAGTAATTAATGGATCAATGTCAACCAAGAAGTTTTAATGGAGTGCCCAAAGGCTCTGTCCTTGGCCCTGTGCTACTCAACATTTTAATCTATTACTTTCATGAAGACATAGATGAAATGCTCATGACATATTCAAATAATATAAAGTTTTTAGGGTTAGCTAACTTGTAGGTCAACTGAGTTAGGATTCAATGAGAGAAAATGATGGGGTCAATTCTAATAAAGTTTAATGTAATAGAGATGAATAAAAAATTTGGCCACTGGGTTCAATATAATTCAATAGTACAGCATGGACTTCTAGCTCAATATAAGTCAATGGTACAACATGGTATCCAGGTCTTAGACTATGTTAATAACAACGTGCTGTCTAGAATGAGAAAGGAGATAAGAATGTCACACTGCTTTGTCTTGGTCAGAATATATCCAGAATATTGAGTTTCTTTCTAGGTGTTATGATTTGGGAAGAATATTGACAAAGTAGACTACATCCAGGAGAGAATGAGCAGAACTGGAGATCATGTAATGTGAATAAAAAGGCATTTATTAAGAAATAACTATGTAGAGTACCAAGTACTGAGCTGAGTGCTGGGGATACAAACAAAGAAGCAAAAACAGTCCATGCTCTCAAAGAGCTTACATTTGAATTGGAAGACAATGGACATAGGAAAGTTGTGATCAGGAAAAGAGGCTTTTTTTTTTAAGAGGGTTGGTGGATGAGGTAATAGGGCAATAGATTGACATACCCCACTCAGGAACAATGGTACAATTGACTTGAGCTGGTGACATTTAGCTTGCAGAAGAGAAGATGTACTAGGGATACATAGCTTTCTCCAACTATTTAAAATGTATTCCTCTTTGAGAGGTATTTGGGATGTTCTTGGCCCTGGGGAAGATTTAAGCATACTGAGTGAAAGTTTCAGAATGGCAGATTTTAGATTCAATGTAAGGATAGAGCTGTCTAGAAACGAAACAGGCTGCTTTGTTGGATTATTCTCCCATTCTGTCTTTAAGGAGAGGCTCCAAGACCACTTGCCAAGACTGTTGCATCCCGTCCTTAACCTGTCTCCTCCTTAACCCCCTCTCCTCTAAGAATTCAAGCACCATCTTTGGCATGAAGCTTTCTATGATCTCAACTGGAAGTGCCCTGTCCCCAAGTTCCCTTGCATTTAACTACTTTGTATTTGTTTGTATTGATTCACTTTATATTCATATTGTATGGTGTTTTTTTTTGTATGTATGCTTGTCTCCCTCGTTAGAATGTGAGCTCTTCTTGAGGAGAGACTGTTTCATTCTCAGTATTTATATCCCCAGTGCCTAGTGTAGGATCTGGCACAGAGGACGTACTTAATGAATATTTTTTTGGTTGACTGATTACTTGCTGCAGAGGTGATCCCTTTTCATGTACTATTTGAACTCAATGACCCAACTCCAAATTTCTATGATTCAGTTAATAATTTTTGTAATACTTTGATGGATCTGTTAATCTTATCAATATGGGTACTCCCTTGGTTCTACCAACCTTCCATTCAGTAATATAGTTATAGTAATATTATATAATACTATGTTATATATTACATATATTTACATATAATATTATATTGTATCATTAATTATATTTTATATTATGTATTGTATTAACATTATTAATTAATGTTAAATTAATATTATAATAGTATTATGTAATAAGAGCAATATAACCATATATTATGAGATGTTTATATTATATATAATTATAAATATTATATAATATATAAGTATAATAATTGTATAGTTCTATTT